TCCATTTAGGCTGCAGCTTTGACCTTCTTAAATGCCTTAAATGCTTCATCTTTGTCTCGGATCGGCACGTGCCACATAAATCTTGTACAATCTTCAACCAACAACAAGAAATAGCGCTTCCCTCCGTGAGTAGCAGGGGTAATTGGGCTGCACAAATCTCCATGTCACAGTTCAAGAGGTGATTCTGCTCGAAATTTTGTCACTGCTAGAAAATGATTTCGATGTTGCTTTCCAATCAAACAACCATCACAGATGAGGTCCTCATGCTCGATTTTGGGCAAGCCGTGCACCATCTTTTTCTGACTTAGAAACTTCAAAGCATGTAAATTCACATGCCCATATCTTGTCTGTCATCGCCATGCTTCTTCTTTGCTCCTAGCCAGAAGGCATTCGGAGAGAGCTGGTGCTATGTTAAATATATATAATCGGTTGCTTGACCTGTTCACTTTTGCTAGTAGCCTTTGTGATCTGTCTAAAATAGTCATAACACCTCCTTCAACCTCAACTTTGCATCCGTTCTCATCTAACTGGCCAAGACTTATTATGTTGCTTTTCAACATCGGGATGTAGTAGACATTAGTAAGTATTCGATGTTCACCTGTGAAGCCTTCAAACAAAACCGAACCTCTTCCTTGGATTTCTACAGTCGAGCCATCCCCAAATTTGACCGACCCTTTAATTGTCGTGTCAATTTCAGCAAATTTTTCAATACAACCGGTCATGTGATTACTTGCACCAGTATCTAAATACCAAGCCTTCTCCCGGGTGTTTTTAAACTTTGACACCACCTTGTCTTCATGCAATAACACCTGCTCGTTCTGTATTGCGTGGCTGAGAACACAAGTTTCTGTCATCAACAGGGCTGGTTCATCTTCGGTTTGCGTTGCAACAATGTTTGTTTTTTCTCTTCGGTTTGGTTTGAGACACTCTTTTGCAAAATGACAATATTCATTACAATTGAAACACTTAACCTTGGATTTGTCGAAGTTACGTGGCTTTCGGTCTTCCCCTCGCCCCCCACCATATCCACGCGCACGACCACGTCCTCTCCCATGACGTCCTCCTTTTTTGTTGTTGTTGGAACCTTCATCTTTCTTTGCCTTTGAGATTCTTGCCTCCCACTCGGCCTGGGTAAGGAGTAACTGTTCTCCACTACCCTTTGAGTGCAGTCACCCTTTAAGCCCTTCCTCGAAGGTTGTGAGACGACCTATCGCCTCTGATACCGACATCTTCTCAGTATCGCCAAATTGCTCAATTGTTTCAATAATTTGGAGAAATCTATCTGGAACTGCACTGAACAATTTTTCAACAACTTCACTGTCGTCGAACTTCGTACCCAGTGAGCGGATCTCACTCACCAGCGTGGTAAGCTTCATGGAAAATTCATTTATTGTCTCTGAATCCTTAATGTGTAACTTGTTCAGTTGTCGTTTCAGCACTTGCATGCGTGCCTTCTTAATGCGAACTTCACTGACTTGCATCCCTTGAGTGTGTCCCAAGCCTCCTTTGTCATCTCTTTCTCCGCGATTACCATCATCACGTCATCCGACATGGCTTGAGAAATGACTACCATGGCGCCTTGATCCTTGTCATCGTCCTTTTCTTCACATTCAATCACTGATCATACTCCTAGTGAACGCAAGATTATCTTCATCTTGACAGCCCATATGTTATAGTTCGTTTCACTTAACGTTGAAAATTGGATAGGGATTGAGGCTCCTCTTGCCGTCGGTTTGATGACAACAAGTGTCTTAGATGGATCTCCATCATTTCCGGCCATTTCTTTGACAACTTCTCTCTGATAGCAAATGTAGGTTTTCAAAGTCAAACTTTAAACGCCAACAAAAATGGAGGAATTTTTTAGTACTTCACACACATTATATTTTATAATTTTTTTAAATATATAAGCAAATACAAATAACTACACATCACATTTTTCTGAAAATAAAAACTAACTAACCACTTAACGATTTTACTAACCGCCTAATCACAAAATTGTTTTCATAACCGTCTAATCCACATGAAAAATGTGCAAAAATAATATAAATAATTTTTAGAGACAACTAGATTAACTCAACAGACATGTGCGGGAGTTGATAATTAAGGGCATATCATGAGCATGCAAAACAACAACAATAAATCCCTAGAAAAGCAGGTTGTGCAGGACAATGGCTAAAGCGACATGTGCATCTGAATCTTCCATACAACATGATCCCAACCCTACTCATAACTCTTCATCCATCAGATTCTTCATCTAATGAAACTGTACCCGGCCGCCTTCCGATCATCGCCGGCCATGTGGTAAGAATTGTCTCCATTAGGGTAAATGCTTGAAATAACAGGGGAAGGGTGAGAGAAGCAGAGCAAGGGATTAGCTGCGGCAAAGGTTTTCCCGGAATCGTGAGTCAGACCTAGGGGAAAGCAAGCTCGCCGGCGATGGGCGGAGCGACGGATTTGGGAAAGATGGTGAAGGGAACGGGAACTTACAGTGGGAGAATGGGAAGGAGGAGCCAGCGGTTCGGTCCGGAAGCTTGAGTGGCGATGGGATTTTCGGCGAGTAGAGAGATGAGTGGGTGGATGCCGGGAAAGAGGTAGCCGGAGGGAGGATCGCCGGTGGTGGTTGTGCGAGGGGCGGCGGAAAGAAGAATTACAAATATAACTTGCTTAGATTCATGATGGTAAAATTAGACGGTGAATTCATAAGGCCCTTTGGCGGCAGCTTATAAGTGCGACGTTTGGGGGCATTTTATAAGTGCGGCGACGTTTCTAACTTATAAGAGCAGCGACGCTTTTGAAAGAGCCTTCAAATCGTTTGGTTTGCGCGTTTTTTAAAACGCTGCTTGTCGCGTTTGATTTTTTACACTAAACGCAGGCCTCGCGTGAGTCGACCCGCGAGTCACCTTTCAGAATAAATTGCTTATCCTGAAACGCATAATCTGCCTAAACGAACCCTAAGGGTCTGTTTGAGGCGGCTTATAAGTGCGGGCGACGTTTTCAAAATGCCGCCGTATTGTTTGGTTCGCGTGTTTTGGTTCGCGTGTTTCACCAGCTTATCCGAAACTGCGTTTGGATTTTTACATTAAACGCAGATCGCGGGTTGACCCCTCGCATTTGGGTTTTTCACACTAAACGCGCAATCTGCCCCAAATGCAGGCCGCGGATCATGTAGCCACGAAGGATGGGACATAATATAACTACTTCCTATTTTAATAAAACAAATCAAAATGATAATGTTCCTCCAAGAGAATGTTAACAATGTGATGGTCAATTTTGATTTGTTCTGCCTATTGAAGAAGGCTTATTGTTCAGTAGTGGAATTGTGTTCTGATGGTCACATTAGAGGGGTGTAAATGCAACACAAAATGTATCATTTTAGCATCATCTAGAAACCAAAAATATTTGAGGAGGCAACATATTAATTTGTTTAGACACTAACCTAAAGCCCATATTTAGACATAGGCTTCTCACCAATACATGCATTGTGGTTTTCAGATGGGCCTCCAACCTAATCTACACAGTAATATCTATGGGCATTTAAAATATCAGTAATTAAACCTTTTAAAAGATAAAATACACATTTGGTATGTAGGAAAAGTAGAATACTGGCATATATGTAGAAAATGATGTTCTGGTATTTATATATGTATGTAAACCTTCCTAATACTTATGATTTATTGGAAGCATGTGTACAAGCTTTATAAGTCTGCAAATATATAAGATATTTTAAGGAAATTTTCATAAACCTTTAATTAAAAAAATTCATATTTATTGATATATCACTTAATTATAATTACTAATGAATCACTCTAAACATCCAACTCCCTTAAATATACCATCATCAAACAAAGTTAAGAATATGGGTGTAAACAAACAGAACACGAACGAATAAAGCTTATGTTTGTGTTTGGTTTGTTTGAAATAAACTTGTATTTGAAATTGTTCGTGAAGTTACTGTTCGTTTTCACTTCTTAATGAACGAGCTGAACACGAGCTGTTCGCGAACAACGATGCAGTTTGACATCTCTAATATTGATATATAATTATTATTATTAATTTATTATATATTATAATTTATAAAATTTAATTTTTAAAAAATAATAAATTTTTAAATATAATTATTTTAAATTATTTTATATTTCGAATAATAACGATTCAAACACGAACGAACGCATCACTGTTCGTGTTTCGTTTGTTTAACTAACCAAATCTTATCGAACGAAAAAAATTTGTTCACATTCGTCTCGTTTACTTATCAAACAAATCAAACACGAACCCATTGACAAACCGAACACGAACTATTCGCGAACAACGAGCTTTTTTGACAGCCCTAGTCAAGAAATATGTTAAATTAACAGAAGAGTCAAATATAATTTCAAAATTAGAGTAGAGTCCACAATTAATTACAAAATTAAGATTTAAGTATGCATGCGCTAATATTTTAATAATATAACTACTATTAATTTAAATTCAGTCCTCACCAATAATAAATATTAGGAACATTTACTTAAATACCACACAAACACATAACCATTTACATTTACATGTATCCTACTCAAATCTTAACACACAAAAAAGTACCACAATCACAAGTTATAAAAGTGATGTCATTTTCATTCATAAATTTATGACACCAAGTTTAAATATCATACTTAGGTTGTTACATGTGTAGATTCCCCTAAATTTATTAACATCTAAATCTATAAAAAAAATTTTAAATAATCATACTATACCTAGCAACACTAATGTTCGCGAAAAATGTTGCGTCAGGACGTCTGCACGTCCGGACGGCCAACCACCGGCCGTTACGTTGCTCGCCGATTGAGGTGCATAGTGACGTGGCAGTGGCGGTTGACCGTTCGGACGTGCATTGTCCGAATGGAATATTTTCTCGAATGTTAGACTAGAACCTTGCAAACATTAGCAAAACTAACAAGAACAATGACAGGGAAATACACAAACCCAACCATTAAAATTGGATCATAAAAAAAGCTAATTGAAAATTACAAAAGCAGAAGCAGCTAAAACATAAGTTTATATGACAGCTATTAAGAAACTTAAATAAGAGAATGAGAAACAAATTAGTGCAGAAGGAGAAGAACTGCATGTGACAAAACGAGAAAGACATCATTTTTTTTTATCTCTACAAATCCTCGTGATAAAGATGAAGTCCCAAGCCAAGACGTGCGCAGGCTCGTCTGAACGCCATTGCTTCAGCTTTCTGCACTGGATCTCCATAGTGTGTGTCGTCAACAGAAGCGGTTCCAGTAGATTCTCTGTAGATCTGGTTACAATTTGTGTAAAAACTTCCATCAGTTGAAATTCTTTTTTTTTTTTTTAGTATATATAGTATTTTTAGGCAGATTTACATACGTATCACTCGATTCTTATATGTTCACATATCTAAACCTAAACTTGAATATATATACATCAAAAACTGTATATCACTATTTAAAAGTAAAAATAGTGATGTGTTTTATGTGATATGAATATTTGGGTGCGTGTTATATATGTAAATGCGTAGGAATTGGGTAGTATGTATGTAAATGCCCACCTCTTTTTTAAATCATCATGATTATTAAACTTGGGCTTTATTTGAGAAGGCTTTCATCCTCCGTTCAATTGCTGTGAATGTCGATGCAGACTTTTTTTTCTGTTCGGTAAAACAACTTTTTTTGATGTTATGCCGAAATTATTTAATTTTTTTTTTGCCGTTTTAGAACTAAGGCTTCGTCGCTCGTTCAGCCACAGCTTTTGAATGAGCTTTACTATTCAAAAGAAGCCTTAGAAGGTGTTTGGTAGCATGCTGTTTATAGGATTTAACAATGAATTTAACTTAAACCTAACCAAACATTAAAAAAAAAAATAATAATAAAACCAAAGCTCTGTTAAATCTAATTTTCTCGCATTCCGACTTTTTCTTCTCGCGCTCTTTCACTTTAATGATGTAAATTAGGATTTAGTAAAATAAGGCCGTCGTCGCTCGCGAGCTCTTCTGTCACAGTATGAATTTGATAAATCCGATTTAACTTAAATCTAAGTGTAGCCAAACACCACCTTAGACTTATCTCAACTATTTAATGTTGGGAATCACCTCCATTTATTACATCACCAGTTAATATTACAGAGCACTTCGTTACAATATTTAAAATTACAATTTTATAGGTGAATGTACTCCACACCTCACAAGAACTCTCTCCCCAAAACAAATTTGCCACTAGCCAAGAACTGGTCCGACTTCAGTGACTCCAAAACCGGCTGAGGATGAGTCCAACATTCAAATCTGGAAGATCTTTAACAAATCTCCTAGCAACAATTACTCTCTCAAAAGTCTCCCTCTACCCTATTTCAAATCATGACACCCAAAAGGCGAGGGCGAGCGAGCTATTTGACTTTTTTTTTCCGGAAAATAAAATATAAATATATAGAAAAAGTAAGCCTACCAGATTCTACCAATTTTTTTGGTGGGTGAAAGACTGAATATATCGCTTGGAGTTCAATGTGATTTGATTTGACTGAGTAGGTGTTTGAAGGCAAGATTGATGCGATTAACTTCCAACCAACCAATCTCTAGAAGGATGAACAAAGTCTATGATGCCAGAGTTAATCTAAAACACAATAGAAAAAATAAATATTATTACTTAAAAATAAATAAAGGCTACAATCAGAGATAGTGAAATAAAAAATAGGAACAAAAACAACACTAGCTCCAACTAGGACTGGATCGAAGGGTGGTGTTTGTGGTCTGTGAGGGCCAGGAAGGTAGCTGGGTGGTGGAAAAAAACCGGTTGACAAGCCGAAACAGTAAGGGGGTTGTTTCAGATTCCCTGGACAGCAAGCAAGCAACCGTGATTGCGGGGAATGGCTGTCCTGGACGATGGCGATGAAAGGAAGGTGGCAGCTGCAAGGGTGGAGGGCTGGGACAGCAGGATAATGGCTACTCTTTGCCGTTCTTGGCGGTGGCAGCAAGTAGGGAGGGCTGGAACAGTGGTGACAACCATTATGGATAGCTAGGATGGGCAGGAATCAGCGGGCAGGACTTGGAGCAATGACTGGGGCAGCTGGAGCAAGGAGGAACAACAATTGTGGTTATGGATAGCGTCAACAAAGAAGGATGGGAGGGATGCGAAGGAGTTGGGTAAGGATAAATATCCCCATGGGATCGAGCTACAGCCGGAGCACCAATTAAACTCTTGGAAAAGGTCACCATCTCCGATGAGTTACAACCGAAGCACCTTCTCGCCTTCGAATACATCTCTAGAAGGGGAACACCGGACGCCGACGGTTGTCTTGATAGAAATAAGAGTCAAAAAATGACTTCCAAAACTTAATACAACACATATATAGGAGAGAACAAGAAAGTGGGGAAGGAAAGGAGAAAACTTGCTAAAAATTTTAAAGAAATTGAAAGAGGAACCAGTCAGTTCAACCCACCTTGCTCGCGAGAAACAGATAGCAGCCTCTTAATCACGACGATTTCCACGTCCTTCTATTTGGAGCCCATGTCAGTCTAAAAATGCTTGTAGGATTCATATGATCCATGCAAGAACTCTGATAATGATTAGCCTAATACTTTTGTTCTGATATCACATTTGCCACAACTCGACTTAGTAACAACAATAAAAAATGATAAAAAATGAGAATTCATAATAATAATCCTAAATAAGTTGATAATGATGATCCTAAATAGGTTGATAAGGATGAAGTTTCTCATATAGGTTAGGGCCCTATAAATTTTCCCCTGGGAGTTTGCATGTAAAAAATCTTTCTTAACCATAGGGGTGCTGAATATCGTAGAACTATGATGAGTTTGAATCTCTCATACACTTGATTCATAGAATTTCTTAACTATAAGTATCATATTTAATCTCCAATCCAAAAAAAAAAAAAAAACTTTTACAACCAAAAAAATATAAAAAATAAAAGTAAAATAAAATATTGTGAGACCATGAATCGCACTGCTTGTGCCAATCAAACCTTGTAGAAACTTACATGGCATTCTGCAATAACTGAAAAAAAAATAATGATAATGTTATTATATTAGGAGTTTCAATCAGTGTAGTCATTTAGAATGAGAACGAAATGCCTCGATAATTTTGTTTTAAGAAGTGTTTCTTTCAAAACGACAACCAGAGAAAACGAGCCGGAGGCAGAGAAGAAGGAAGTAGACTCAGAGAGATTGAGAGTGAGAGAGGGAGAAGGAAGAAGAAGAAAGAGAAAGAGGAAGATCAACAACACATGCAATCTTGTGCTTCGCCATGCTGAAGAGTGTGTAAGAAGAAGGCGACGCTAGCAAGAGTGTTGAACTCGTTGCTTGGACAATCCCACACAAGAGGGAGCCGAAGAGAAGAAGAGTTGCTAGCGGGTGAGGTGTTACCTATGGTCGAAGGAAGAAAGGAAAGAAGGAGAATAGCATGCACGTTTTGTACTTAGGAGAAAAGAAGGAAGCTGTGGCATCGCAGAAGGAGGGGTTTAACGTGGGTTAAGTGAACATCGAATCGAGGCAATAAGGTTAGGATTATGTTCTATTTTATATAAGATGTTTATTTAATTAATTAGATGATATTAAATTATACTAAACTTTATGAAATAAAGATTATAATTTTTCTAATTAAAATTTATTATATTAAATTAATGTCAGGAAGAATTGCACAAAGGTTAGTAGTGCAGGTTCGGACTAAAAAGAGACAAATCAAGCCATAGAATGAATGTTAAGGTAAGAATTTACGGATTTTATGCTTTAATTATATAAAATCATTTTAATTAAAATGCTATTAAGATATAATCTTTATGAATTAATTTCAGTAAGTTAGTCCAAACAAGAAATTGAATTAAATGACCAATAAGATCGAGATCGATCATGCAAAAGAATAGAATGATGTCAGGTTAGCGTTATGCAAAAGAAGAGAATGAGGTAAGGTTAGTGTTTATTTAAGTAATTATTTCTAATCAATTTAATTATAAATTTCTGCATATTAATGTTGGAATATTATGAATATAACGAGGCGAGACAAAAAAAAGTGTGAAAGAAAAAGTTAAAAGAATTTGAAATGGATTATTTCTTAAGATGAAATCAAAATAAGTACTCATGTTCTTAGACTATGTTAATGTTTTTGTTTCTTCTACACCAATACATTTACTGTTATCGTTACTCGTTATATTGAAATCACTGCAAACTCGTAATTTATAATTCTATTGAATTATTGTTCATATTGTATGAATGATATGTGTACTCAAATTTATTTAAATTATTATAGATAATAAATGTTATATAAATATATTGACTGTTATGCAAATGATGATGAAATAATCATTATTAAATAATACTTTTCATAGCATGCTTGCATGTGCATGTTGTACTAAGACAGAGTTCATCCTTTTATGGTACTAGCGAATAAATCCTAAGATACTTATGCATGAAAATGAAAAAGAATATTGATATTAATATGTACCTTCATTGTTACTAGTTGCTCTTGTGAAGATTGCATACAAATTAAAAAAATATTGAAATATAATGATACAATAAGACACAGTGAATGTTTAGAATCTTAAATTATCATATTAGATAATATAAACGCTCTTAGATTGATTTATATAAAGTTTGTCTGACACGCATATTGTCATATATTTCATAGAATTACTCTAATTTATGAGTATAAGAATTTATTGACTATGTTCATTTACTGTTATTTTAAACTAATTTTCAAGTTTAATTAATTGATTAAAAAATAAATAATAGAAAAGAAAATTTTTATAGAAGACGCGGACAACCTGACATAAAGTAATTTATAGCTACTTTAGTTTAATTTTCTTTTGAAAGGCTCTTTCATTTGTTAAATGTTACTTATAGAATATAAATATAGAAAAAAAAATTAAGCTTCATCGTCCAGTCGTCTCCTCTTTTTGGTTAATTTCAAGCAATGAATCGGGACGTAATAAAAGTGAAATAAGAGCAAGATTTAAAATTAATTAATGTAATTTTGGTGAAAGAGTCAATAGGACAATTATAAGATAATTTATAATAAGAAAATTGAGATTTTAAGTTAGTACTAATTAAGTAATTATTTTAATTCAAGCAAATAGATGTATCCGAGATTATAGAAGAGGAGAATACAGTAGAAAATGAAGAAGAACCAACTGATATAAATGTGAACACAAATGCCCTGACCCAGATAGTGGCGACGATGACAGTTAATTCAGGAGTTCAGACTGCAACTTGGTGAGAGTGAAATAATTGTTGTGGATAAGTACTTAAAGATATTTCATGCACTGTGTCCCCCATTA